TATATATATATATAATTAATTGTTTTAGAATATTTACGCTGATTAATTTTTTCAGGATTCTCTGATGAATAGAAAGTTCAAAATAATACCCTTTTTTAGTATTTTAATTTTGCAAGATTATAAATCTTTACTTTTTCTTTTGATCAATTTACATTTTACTGTTTCTGTTTTTATAATGAATGATCTTCTTATCGATTTACAGCTCTGTGTGATTGAAGGGTAAAAACATGGGTCGATTTTCACATTGGTCTGAACAAAAAACAACCCAATGAACTGAAGTCTCGCATATACACAAGTCTTTTGTTCCAAAAAAAACCCTGAATTTAAAACCAGAATATATATAGAATATATTGAAATAAATTAGGTTAAATATTTCAAGAGGGTTACCAACAGGTATGTTTAAGGTTAGGAGTTTGTTAGGACAATAATTAATTGTATACAATTAAACAACTACATACTTCCTTAAAAATAATAATATACATAATTGAATAGCAAGTGCTATAAAATAGTATGAGCCGCTGATACATACATACAAAAAATAAAAAAATTAAAATAACAAACAAACAAAAAAAAACTACAGGGTCCTAGAAATGCGGTCCTGTATTGCAGGAAAAAACACCCTTCTCACAAAAACAGCCTTATTGAAAATGCACATTCATTCTCTGCCAGCAGGAGGCACTTTCGGAACGGCAGACCTATAACTGTTTCCACGGTAACGGCAGAACACAAAGCAGCTGCAGCACCGACTTTGAAACATGCAGCGCTCATGTTTATTTAATGAAATCAAAGCCTTTTGAAGTTTAATTGTCACATTAAGCTGTATCGCAATTCTTGTCCGTACTCAAATTTAAGACCTCTTGAAATCATAATTAAGTCTTTCTTGTACAATTTAAGACTTTTTATGACCTTAAATTTGATACAAGTAAATTTAAGACTTTTTAAGGACCAGCGGGAACCCTGTCTAGTATCACCTGGTTTGATATTTTGTTAAGAAATTAAGTTTATTCATTATTGAGTGTGACTTCAATGTACAAAATATATTTTGGAGCCACTTTACATTTTTATTGAAATGGTCTGATGTGATTTGTCTTTCATTAATAAATAATGAGCAACCATTAAATATATGACACGAATTAAATAACTTCCAGCTCAGTATGGCTGTACGGTATGGGTGTTGCTGAGTTCAGGTGTGTGGTGCGTACCTTGGCTCAGGTGCAGTTTGCTGTTGAGGTGCGTGTGTGGTAGTTATGGTTGCAATCTTTTCAGCGTTGGTCAGCAGTGATGCATTGGAGGACTCTGCGGGAGGAACATCACAAATGTTAAGGAAGCCTCCACATTATTACCCATAATGCATCTGCAGTGTGTAAGTGCACCCTGTGGACCAAGTATCAGAGGCCCATTTTCCATACATCAAAACATTAGCACTAGTGCACGGTGTAAGCGCACTCCAGCTGGGCAGCAGGAATAATGGCACATTTATCATTCTGGCTGTAGCATTCGTCTCACAGATTACATTATAGCATAATGGCTGAAAGCCATGCAAAGCTGAACATCCAATTCCCCTCTTCTGTCTGTAATCACATATCACAATCTACCCTCACATTAGCAATTACAACAGCTTGTGCTGAAGGGACAATTCATCCAGAAATTAATATTCTCTGGCATTTATTCATTCTCACACTTGTGTGTTTTTTCAATGGAACATAATAAAGATATTCTAAAGAATGATTTAATATTTAAACAAATTAATATTTGTGCGCAAACCATGATACATTTTTTTCAGAATTCTTTGTTGAATGGAACTTACAAAAATAGCATTTAGCTTAAAAATAAATATTTTATAACATTATAAATACCTTTACTGTCACTTTTGATCAATTTGTGCATTTTTTCTGAATAAAAGTATTAATTTTTTCTTTTTTTTAAATCACCAAACATTTGAATTGTAGTGCATCACGGTTTCCACAAAAATATTAAGCAGCAAAAACTGTTGTAAACAGTGCTTACAACACTTATATTTAAAAATGCTTCTTGAGCACCAAACCAGCATATTAGAATGATTTCTGAGCAGCCTGAACATCTATTTAAACATCTCCTTTGGTCCATTTTTGTGTGAACTTTTAGTTTAATTGATCTTGGATCATTTGCTTTGACCGCATCAGCCTAACTCTTAAGTCAGCTGTCACCAATGAACAGTCTGCTATTGCTTGCGCTCAAAGCTGCTTTAATTCCGCCCCACTGGGCAGTCACTGTGGGAGAGAGGGGGAACTTTGATGAGTGCACAGCCTGTGAATCCCACCGTCTTAAAATAGCCCTTCCCCATCACTCTGTTGGGAACAGACTTGCCGTTCTCTCTCTCTCATAGATTTATCTTATTTTTTCCTCTTTTCTCCACTCAGAAAGCATAAGAAATGCATAAATTATAAATTATGCATAAATTAGGCAAAGAAACCAGAAAAAAGGCTACAGTTTAGTAACTGCAGTAAAGTAGCATCCAGGGGGAAAAAACCCAATAAACCATCTTCGCCTTCCTGTAAACACAACCAGACGTACACACCCACAGTCTGTCAATTTTGGAAATTCCCATAGTATGCCAGCACTCTCCTCCTCTCTGATTAAAGAGTAAGAAGAACTCTCAGACAGACCCCAGTGTATTTGGCATCACGCATTAGAGTATTAGAAACTTCACTGGAAACAGCTTTCTCATTATTGCATGCCTTCCCTCTGAGGAAAACACTCAATGTAGTGCATAGACACACTGGCACATGCAAGCACATATGTACCATGAGCTGTTATACCTTAGGCCAACACTTATGTTTCAGTGTCAATTCTGGCTCACTTTGTAGACGAGATGAGACTTGATCAAAGAAAAGAAAATGCTTAGTACAACTAATTGATATAGGTTTGTTTTTAGTGTGAAAAGGGACCTGGGTTCCAAATCCAAACTGAATTTAATACATTGAACTTGACAGCCAGTTATCATCATGCATTTTTGTTGTATGGAAAAAGGCACCTCTGACATTTTGGTCCAAACGAAAAAAGAAATAAGAGCATGAAGCAAAATGAATGCTTGAATGGGTAGATGATGACAGCTGCAAATGATTTGCAGATTTGAAGTGCAACTTGATACACCCGTGCAAAGTGTGATTACATTTAAGAATGTGGTTTCTGTCACTTTAAATAAACACCTTTTTTAATCTACAACAACTGTGCAACTTACAAAGTACAACAATAAGGGAGGTGGAATAGTAATATCTATAAAAATAGAAATATATATTTTTCATTTACTTTCTAAGTAAATATACGTATTTTCTATAAAAACATAATAATACTAAATGGCTCTTGAGCACCCAATCAGCACTTTAGAATGATTTCTGAAGGATCACGTGACACTGAAGACTGGAGTAATGGCAACTGAAAATGTAACTTTGCTATCTAAGTAATATTTTACGTTTTAAAATATATTAAAATAGAAAACAGTCATTTCAAATTGTAATAATATTTTATAAAATTACTGTTTTACTGTATTTTTGATTAAATAAATGAAGCATTGGTGAACACAAGAGACTTCTTTTAAAACACTGACCCAAACTTTTAAACAGTAGTGTATAAAACAAAATAAATAAATGAACAAATAGTTAGTCAGTAAGTTAATAGCTTTATAAGGAATGCATGGTTAGGTTAAATGCTGGAGAATGCTATTTTGAACTCAGTTCAAATGCATGATCCAAATTAATCCTATGTTTGTTTGTTTGCTTTTTTCTCCAGAACTTCATGTGATGACACAAACATTAAACCATTGAAACAGAAGTAGCATCAAAATTCAAATGTGGCTTGACTTTTTGTGATTGACTCAGGCTTATCTCATCATTATCTCTGCAGGTGACACATTCACCTGTCTGCAACAATAATGCAAGAACAATTGTTAAATATAGTTTTCATAGGAACAAAATAGATTTTCAATACAAATGCAAAACACAGTTTGATGACTAGAAATATATTATTTATAGCCTGTAATGTTTCTCAACAAAAATCATATTTTGGAGCCTGCTTACATCCATATCCAGTCTTGCGCCTCACGGTCAAGTTGACGTGACCCTGTTTTGCAGCTTGTTGCATGAGTTGAACAACTAGCTGATGGGATTTTCCCACAACAGCCGTTCCATCCACACAAATAAGCTCATCTCCTGATCGCAGACGCCCATCTTCATCGGCAGCTCCATATTTCACAATGTGGCCAATATAAATCTGTACAGCCAGGAGAGACAGACACAGAAAGTGAACATCACTCCTCGAGGTCCATCACTTTTCAAACTCAGGGTGTCTGTGTCGTGTCAAGGGGATTCATTTTACTGAAACACTGTCATTTCTGCTTATTTTATGACTAATTGTTGTGAAATGTTCTCCAAACAGTAAAACCTCTATGGACTTTTTACACCCCTTTACCAGTCGAGAAGAGCAGTATAGCAGTTATCTCTGTATTTCATTCTTCAAGGACTAGAGTCTGAGAAACCATCTCATCAGTTAAAATATGTAACATGGCCTCATTAAAGGGAAGAACTGGTGGTCTGAGATATATTTTCTGACTGATCGAGGCTGTACTGCACAGATCAAAGCTTTTGTCAACCTACACACACAGGGCAGATGCTTTCACTGGGCACAAGTTTTGCCAAAAGCTGAGTGTTTGTAATGCACTGGGCATCATGCACAAGCTGTGAAGACTGAATCAGAGAACTCAGCCAAGCTTGGACTATTACATTTGGAAAATCTTCAAAGGGTCTATATTTGTTGGGCGCCTTTGGAACTGTCAAACAGCACAAGTGTATTTTTGTCTGGCATTATAACTAATTAATATAAATTAATTAATAATGAATGTTGTTACATTTTTTATCAAATATTTACTTGACAAGCGTAGCAATATGTTAACCAGTCTTGGTATCCTTAACTAAAACAAAACCTACTAAAGATTGTTTTCTTTAATCGAAAAAAAGCTGACATATAAAAAATATAAATATTAGATAAAAAAACTTGAAACTTGAAAACTTTGAAAACAAATAAAATAAGTTTAAGAACTAAAATGACTCAAACTAAAAAAAATCAAATAAAAATCAAAGCTAAAATAGAAATATTAAAAAATAATATTTAAAAAAAACTTTAAAATGGAAAAGAAAATAATGTTCAAAATGATAAATTCTATATTTATTAAAACATAAGTAATACTAAAATAACGCTGTTGTTCACATTAAACAGGCGTTTATCCATACAATACAATTAACAGTACTAAATCATTTTTTGTTTAAGATGTTGGGATAGATTGTATATCAATGTATAAAATGACAGTATATATTTTAGGTCCCGTAACTGGTTACAATTTCCTAACCTTTTTTACAACTTCCAAACTATTTACCTTCATCATTTCATTTTATATGGTCCTGTGGTGAGACAAATGTATCAATTCAAATGTATATATTCTATGTAGACCATATGACAGATGCATGCATAATAATTATAAAACATTTTACAACATTTAAATAAAATAGTTTAAATAGTTTTATGTATAAATTACAACTAGCCCTAACCACAAGACTGATTAAATTAATAAATAACTATAATAAATATAAAAAGTGAACAAACTGTACAATACTTGCAGAACTGCACAAATTAGGCCTGCACTCACCGGCTCGCCAGGTTCATTGCCTCCAAGGATCCTGAATCCAAAGCCGGTATCTTTTCTCCACAGGAAAATATCCTGCTCCTGGTAATCAGGTACTGAAAAGGAGGAAAAATAGCTTGAGACCATGATCAATTGACCTGCAGAATGACGCACAAGCTTTGATTTAGAGCCGAAACCTCCCACTTTCAAGAATGGCTGCTGGTTCAAGGTGGTAGAAAAGCGAACAATGTCACTTTAATGATTGCATCTCACATCTGGATTTTTTTCCTAATTGGTTCACACCAATGAAGGTGTAATATAATGACTACACTGCTCGAATGAATTCGCATAGCACAATCTGATTAACAGGTATTCCCATCAGGGAAAATGATAAGCACTGACACACGTGCTTGAATCTAGATTACAGATCAAGTGAAGCGGAAGACAGAATTCAGAGGTCTTTTGAAGCAGCTGTGCCCTTGAGCATTACACCCAGTGTTGGGGGTAACGCATTGCAAGTAACGCGAGTTACGTAATCAGATTACTTTTTTCAAGTAACTAGTAAAGTAAAGCATTACTTTTTAATTTACAAGAAAATATTATTGATTGAAAGCTCTCCTGTCCCCATGTTGAGAGAAATCGGGAGTAAGATGTTACTTTAGTTCTAGAATAATGTGAACATGCATTAATTCATCTCACTTACAAAAATCAGATTTAGTTTTCCTCAAAATTTATAAAAACAGTTAAAAGCAAGTCAGAATATGACCCAAAGCTGCAATAATGAAAATATGTTAAATAATACAAATATCCTTTATGTTTTAAGCCCATTTTATTAACCAATTTGCTGCTGACCTTCGATGATCCAATGCTAACAAGCAAAAATTACACAAGATAAACTAACATTTCTTCTTCTTTTTTTATTGCTGAAGAGTGTTGAACTTTCTTCTTCTGCGTTCTACTGTACACACATGAATTTACATTTCCTTCAGCCTGAGGCTTTGGTGTGAAAGAGCTTTTACATTTGCCAAAAATAGAACTTTTTATATTAAATGCAAACAAGCAAGCCCTGCCCAGATTTAAAAAGTAACGCAAAAGTATAAGGTAACGCATTACTTTCAATAAAAAGTAACTAAGTAACTTACTTAGTTACTTTTTTTAGGAAGTAACGCAATATTTTAATGCATTGCTTTTGGTACTTGTTATCCTCTGACTCTGAGTTGAGTTTTATCGGTAACAATTTACTTGAAGGGGTGTGCATAAGACTGACATGACACCTTCATAATCATGACATGACACACGTCATGAATATGAAGGAGGTTTTATGCATTTTTATGACAACTGTCATTAAGTGTCATTCGCTCAGTTATGTCATTTTTAATGCAAATATGACATTATTTGACCTAACCCTAACCTAACCCTACCCCTACCCTTACCCCTAACCATAGCCCATAACAAAGACATCTCAAACAATGTCATCTTTGCATTAAAAATTACATAACTGAGCAAATGACACTTAATGACAGTTGTCATAAACATGCATAAAAACCTTCATATTCATGTCATGTGTCATGTCATGATTATGTAGGTGTCATGTCAGTCTTATGCACACCCCTTCAAGTAAAGTGTAACCGTTTTATCTTTCAGCATTCTCAGTTAATTGTGTACAGACGTTCCAGAAATGTAAAAGATTATTTGGTGCATGCTCATTTGAAAAGTGATCCTGCTCCTGGTTCTTACCAGAGATGACTTAGTCCTATACCAAATGGCAATTATATGTGTGCTAATTGTGCTCAGTGCAATAATACATCCCAAACTTCCTTTTTCTGTCATCCGAGAACCGGTAAAAAATATAGAATCAACTCTGTGATAACGTGTGTCTCCACTCATGTTGTTTATTTGATTCGTTGTCCTTGTGGTTTAGGCTATGTTGGTAAAACATCACGTCAACTTAAGCAAAGAGTTAGTGAACACAAGAGCTCTATCAGGAGAAAATATATTAATTATCTAGTTGCAGCCCATTTTCTTGCCCACAACCATGATGTTTCTACCTTATGCTTTTGTGGGATTGAAAGGGTTAATATTCCACCTAGAGGGGGAGATATCGAATTACTCTTACAGCAACGTGAGCTGTTTTGGATTTTTACCTTTCAGACTTTATCTCCTTTAGGCATGAACGATGAAGCACTGTTTAATGTGATGTTATAAATAACTTTTTTTTCTTGTGATAGATGTTAATTATGTACCCAGTGTGGGTTATTACTAAGCGATGGTCCTTTGCAGTGATTGGTCATGATTGGTCATGAATTCTTTTTAAATGTGGTTTAAATTGTAATTTCATGTTTGAAGATACCTGATGAAGGTCATGCGACCGAAACGTTGTTATTAAACCTTTTTGATACTTTTGCACTAATTGACAGTGTGCGGGAATTGTTTTCTTTTTTCCTAATGCATTACTTTTAAAAGTAACTTTACCCAACACTGTTTACACCATGGCCTGAGCACTGTCTCCACCACAGCACTTCCACGTCAAACCAGTCAGGACGAGCAACAGCAGAGTTTCCCCCTCTTTTAGACTTGAAGCCCTGCAGACATCAGCAATCTGTCAGGTTTTACATTATTGACCCTGTAGCTCTCCAATGCATCACATGATGTTCTGTCAGGGGACATTTATGCCTGTTAAGTAAGAGACAGCTGGAAACCGTTGCTCTGGCTGGAAATTTCTGACGCAGGTTTCCCGGAGATCTTTTTTAAACAAGCCTACTTTTAAGAATGGGCTTCGGTTTACATAGGCTAACAACAAATGCTCTGCGTTTGTGAATCTACTGCAAAGCTATTGTAATGCAGCTGGACGTGTGGAGCAGATGGCAGGTACAAGGACCTCCGTCTGCAGTCTAACCAGATGCACAGCAATTTACTGTAACAGAGACAGGAAGTAGAATGGCTCCAGAGCCATACGAAATGGCTGCTGCATGGGCAATTTTCCCATACTGTTTGATCTCCATTAAGCAGCAAGGACGGTTGTGGCAGACTCTGCAAATTGTGCATTATGGCAAAGACAGAACTTAAACTTAGATTAATTTGCGTTAAAGCCTCTCAATGCAGCTGCTCACTGCTCACACTTATTGAACTGAATGTTCTCAAGCTGGTCAATCAAAAAATGTAAATTAAATGTCAACGATTTACCTTTCAAACCGTTCAAGGACTGCAACAGTGTAGTCTGATTTTGTAACTGACTACCATGAGCTGGTTCTTTTAAGTGATTCAGAAACATACACCAGAACTAGTAGAAATCTCAAACAAATGACTACTGATTTGGTTCTTGTTTAGTGAATCAAAAACATATGGCACCATCAGAGTATTCCCGAATGAATGACTCCAAAGAGCTTTCCAAATGCTTGGAAACACACATTTTGCAAGAACTGCTTATACTTTAGTATAACCAGTGAAGTCTGGTTTTCGAACAAATGACTAAAGATTTGGTTCTTTTTAGTGAATCAAAAACATACAGTCTAACAATGAATAATGAATTACTTCAATAAGTTTGTCTTTTTTTAGTGAATCAAAAATATAATGCAATCAGTATAGTCTAATTTCTGAACAAATGACTTTAAAGAGACTGTTCTTTTCAGTGAATCAAAAAAAACGTAAAACATTTTTTTATTAAACTATCTTTGGAACTTAATTTTTTCCCAAAAAGGAAAAGTACTTAAAATAACTGTTAATGGAACCATTTAAAGGAGCGGAATATTTAAGAGGTGGAACTGTTAAATTCTTTGCGATCCCAAGTCCCAACATCTTCTTTCTTAAAGGGCTTGCTAATGAGAGACACTAACAAAAGCAGAAACAATGACGACACTCGAAGTTGGCAAGATTTTCAAACCCAAACATTGGAGCACTCCATTCCACAGACTCTTAACATCTACTGAAGGATATTCCTGTTAATTAGCCCCTCTGCTCTGGCACACATGAAAGTAGTATTGGATTCACTGTCTTCCACCACTACCAATTATATGCACATTTGTCAAAAGATGTGTTCTAGAGCGCGCTGGAGCATGTGAATGCACTGATGGCAGGGAGGAGTGTAATTGGTCAGAAGTGCCTCGCCGTTCACATTGGATTCTCACTGGTGGTGAGTGAGTAGGCGAAAGCAAAGTGAAGGAAAGAAGGAATGGGAAAGGCTAATGAATGGCTTTGGAAGTACAGATGACGTGCTCATCTGAACACAGCTCTCTGATCACAACAGATATAGCAGATCCTAACTGACGACTAATGGTTTACATTAGCTATTTGAATACTGAAAGACTACAGTCATACTCAAAAGGACGTTTGATGTTAATGTACTGCATGGCGGTGTCACCAAATTTGAAATACAAATTACTTAACATCTGCTAATTAATATAGAGGACTGAGTAGCCGTGAGTTGTTGAAAATGTTAATTTGGTTTATGTATAGATTCACTATTAAAGCAAGACCCCCAGCTGAATTTAACTCAGTTAAATTTAAAATAATAAAACCCCAGCTAAAGATTTTATTCACCATACTTCCCAAGTTGATTGATTACATTAAGAATCGCATTTTTTCCATTGTATTACAATTTTTCTGCTTAAATATGCAAAGGATGCATTATCTGGATAAAGCCAGGTTCAAAATTCCTTTTCATTTTGTTGACATATTAGAGCCAAATGTTCTACAAACTCTACTTAAAAACCTTCAGAAAATTAGATACTGTAAAGTTTGGTGTATGTACAGGTAAGTGCAACTGAAGTGCAGAATACTGAAAGCATGCATTGAAATTGAACTCTACAGATGCAAATAGATAAAGAACAGATAAAGTGCAATAAAATAAACACTTAAAAGTGTATTATGCATTTTTTCTTTCCACTAGCCTGAAAAAAACTTTTATCAAAAGCCAAACTGTCCAATATCTCAAAGTTGCCTGTAGAGTCTTGCCTTAAAATTAGTGATTGGCAATAATCTTTTTATACCAATGTTAGATCTTTTTTTTTTCTCCAACAAAAACATTTTTTAAGACCCCAAAATGTTAATATTCAGCTAAAAGGCAAAGCAGAATAATCATACAAGGAATCCAGCCTGTTCCCAACCAACCAAACCTGATATCCCATTACCAATCAAATATAAAGGAGAGAGCCAGTGATCCGCTGCCAATGCACCCGCCACCAGAATCCCATATTACTTACGCCTACTTTCATACATGCTCCTGGACTGGGCCCAGATTTTAAAGGGATCTGGTTTCTTCTGGAGAGTTCCGTCTACTGGAGGGTCCTGGGGCAGGCTTGGCAGGGGCTGGGAGGGGGGAGGTGGTGCAACCGACTCGTTGAGCAGGGCCTGGGAGGCGTGGAGGGGGGAGTCAGTGTGGATGCTGCGCTGACTGGACACGCTGTGCTGGGAGCTGCCCTGACTGTCCTTGCGCTCCAACTGTTGTTGTGGTGGGGGAAAAAAAAGAGAGAAATTGTGAATAGAAAAGAAAAAAAACACCACAGCCTCCAAAGCGCCTTTAAGATGGACTACAGGAATTGAATACATGTGAAGCAGGCAAGGGAAAAAAAGAAACATGAATGAATGAGTCGAAGGACAGAATGATCCACAACTCTCCTTACCTCTCCGTCAGGATTCATTCAAGTCAGGAATTATATTGGCACATTCAATTGCTATTTTAATATTCTGACTCAACTATCATTCAGCCTCACCTTCTCAACCAATACCCTCTAAGCAATTCAACTCATTATTTCAGCTTTAGTTATCACATTTGTAAGCTTGTTTCATAAAATGTGACCCTGGACCACAAAACCAGTCATATGGGTCAATTATTGGACCAATTCAATTTCTGAATAAATAAGCTTCCCATTGATGTATGGTTTGTTAGGATAGGACAATATTTGGCCGAGATACAACTATTTGAATATCTGGAATCTGAGGGTGCAAAATCCCCTTTAAAGTTGTCCATATGAAGTTCTTAGCAATGCATATTACTAATCAAAAATTAAGTTTTGATATATTTACGTTAGGAAATTTACAAAATATCTTCATGGAACATGATCTTTACTTAATATCCTATTGATTTTTGGCATAAAAGAAAAATCAATAATTTTGACCCATACAATGTATTTTTGGCTAATGCTACAAATATACCCCAGCGACTTAAGACTGGTTTTGTGCTCCAGGGTCACAAGTATGTATGGTTAATCCTAATATAACAAATACAATATATTAATACTAGAACTGACGTCATATAATATATATATATATATATATAAAAAGTCTGAAAATCTGAAATTCAAAACTACATTTTAAACAAAGCAACATTAAAATTATTAAGAAATATTTCAGACTATTTCTATGTCACTAATCAAATAAGCAAAGTAGAGTAACTGATCATGTGATTCCTTTGTATAGATGGTCAGATGTTCCAAGATGCTCACTCTCAAATAAAGCTGGAAAAAATTAAGTTTTGCTCAAACTTGCAGCTTGAATGCTGCTGTAATTAACCAAACTTGTTCTGACAATTTAATTTGTAAAATTTACACTTCAATTAAAAACACTCCTGTTTTTATTATTATTATATAAATGAATTTAAATTCATGTTTTAATCATTATTACAAGTAATACATCATAATTTAATTATAAAATGCCACTAATTGGGTCGGGTTATGACATTTATAAGGTTCCCTCTTCTACAAAGTCATCTGAAGTTCTTTTTAAACCCACGCACACACCTCTGCATCCTTTTGCAGCCCAGCACAACCTACGAATCTGTGCATTACAGCAGACATCCAGAAAGGAAATAAAGAAGAAATCCAGCAATAAAAATGAAACCACAATTCAATAAGTAGCTAATAAATCCATCCAAATAAAACAGAGGCCATTTGAGACTTAAGAGACGCTCGTCTGGCATTGAGGAGTCATACAAGCAAGCATAGACTCCATTTCAACAAAGTAGAAAAACGCAAGGCTGCCATTTTACCAGAAGAATGCTGATTATTGTTTCTACTATCCACAGACTCACTGAGTGCTCAAATCCAACATCTATCATCAACAGGCTGGTGAAACACAAACGATTAAAAATAAAAACACTTTAATGCTATTCTGTCCCTGAAGCTCAGTGGATGGAATCCTGCTGGTTTTGTTGTCTTTGGTAAATCATTAGAGGGCTATTACAGGACGCCCATGTGACCAATGAAACCAGCCCTCCTCCCAGGGGTGAAAGTGAGGGGAGAATGAGAATAAAACACCTGTACTCACCAGTTTGGGGCTCTTCTTCGCAGGTGCCACCCCTACAGAGAACAAAAGAGACAGAAATATTAATTGTGTGCACACAAAGATTTCACCTTCCCCACAGGCACAAATCTGAAAGCAATCCCAAGACAGATGGATGACTCCAATCAGGGCGCGTGGTGCGGCGGCAGCCCCCTCTCTCTTTCCGTTTCTTCTCTCGATCCTTTACTCCGAGGGCAGCGCAGACCAGAAGACCGACCCCCATTACCCTGATTAAATGCTAAGCAGACCCTATAGACTTAAAGGGACAGTTTGACCAAACCGAAACGCTTAAGTCTTGCTTACGTAAAACATAAAAGGAGGTATTCAACAGAATGTCCTAGCTGCCCGTTTCCATATAATAAAAATCGACTGGGCAACAATGTTGGTCACCATTCGCTTCCACCATAAGGAAAAAAGCAGCTGAGACATTGTACAAAATATTTCCTTTTACATTCTACACAAGGTTTGCGGAGTACATGAAGCCAGAGATCTACTTTCAGGGAGAACGATCTCTTTAAACCTACCAGACACTACGCGAGAGCTGAAGACAGAAAAAGAGGAGAGCGACAGATAGAGAGAACGAACAAACGAGACACAGGAAGAGAAACAGAGGAGCTTATGCCCAGACAGGTGCTAAGCTATTACCCATGGAGAAGGAGTCCAAGATACTGAACATTAAATTATAGGCAACGGTCAGTTCCCCTCTTACTGAAACCATCTTCTAGCGTCCCTGCTCCTCGCGATGTTGTTGCCGTAGGATCCTGCATCTAGAGCCAGTCCTTGATTCTCCTGTCTTTTGAGTGTCTCTTTTTTCTCTCCCTCTCCCTCTCTCTCTCCTTCTTCTATTTTGCCCTCCCCCTCCTTGTTTCGATGTGCATCACCCTCGCTCCATCCTCATGTGTTTGCTCCTTCTCTCTGTTTCTCTCTCCCCGACGCAAGTGTTCTCTCGCTCACTTTACCATCGTATTTCCTCCTCCAAACACCGTTTCCCTCCCACTTCTACATGCGCCGATGTGCCATCGCCCCCTCCCACGCCTCCATCAGAAAGGTTGCATCTGACAGGCCATGCATAAATTATGCAATCATGCATAAATAGATGTGCACGTCATTTATAGCAGAAAAAAGTAGGACATTTATTTTAAAAAACGGATATCTCGCATCGTTTCCACTACAGCAAGATTCATTAGTGTGATCATGCCAAACACAAGTCTGCTTGTGATTTCCCTGCTGTAAGATCCCAAGCGCGCGTGTATGTGATTGGTCCTCTGATTCCAGTCTGGCCTGGAAAAAAGGCTGCTTATTGTGAAGCTGTTCCCTTGAGAGCAAGTCGTCTGTGTGTGAGCAAGCCCACGGTAACACACATGCGCACTTGCGTCCAGCCTGTCCTGCACACATCGCTCTCTCTTGCAAAGTGCTTCTGCTTTTTATTCTGACACATCTCCAGGTATTCAATCTTCCATCGTCCTTTCTGTCGCAAATTGACCTGCCCCATCAAGCCCTGCCTCCAACCTGACTCATTATCCCCAAAACAAACACGCTCATCCTCTGCAGTCTGCCGCCTCCCTCCTCTCCAACCCTCCCTTTCCTCTCTATGACGTCTCCACTACAGTCCATTAATTGTTAAAAGTTTCTGCAGCATCTCTACACACCCTTTTTGCAAACACACTCTCTTCATCTTTCTCTCCTTTATGTATTCACTTCAAATCTCGCACTAAAATGTTTTGTTTGGTACAGTAGTGCAGCTTTCTGAAAACGTCACAATCAATTGACCTCTGGTCTTAAAGTAACGTCATTGTCATATAGTTTTTATTTATTTTTGTGTAATTTTAATTTAATTAATTTAAAAAAATTTAAGTTATATCTAATACAACTAATTTAAATAGTTTATTTTATAATATTAAAGTAATAGATGTGGATTATTGTGATGTTTTTATCAGCTGTTTGGACTCTCATTCTGACGGCACCCATTCACTGCAGAGGATCCATTAGTGAGCAAGTGATATAATGACACACTTCTCCAAATCTGTTCTGATGAAGAAACAAACTCATCTACATCTTGGATGGCCTGAGGGTGAGTACATTTTTAGCAAATTTTCATGTTTGGGTGAACTATTCCTTTAATTGCCTTTGAGAAATTTATGAAACTGTAATTTAAAAAATAGCACAGATTATATATAGGCCAGGAATAATTCATACTTTTTTGAACTATCATTAAATACGTTCACTAAAGCCTCTCAATTCAATCAAATTCAATTTGTAATATTGATTCATTCAATTAAACGTTGATGATTCCTATGACTAGGCCTGGGTGATAAAATAGTATCGGTATTTATCGACAGTACACCTTCATCGATAACGATAGAAAATTTTTTAGATATAGCGCACGATATAGGCACGTGCTATGAGTGACACAGACAGCCTACGAACACATGCTGAAATGAGTGCTGTGCCTGCCTGTGATGAGGAGATTGTGAATAAAGAATGAATATTAGTCGAATTTAAAATAAAAAAATTTGCATTTGTCTTTGAATACAAAAACGGTGCAATCGAATGTTATGTGTGCGTTCGGGAGCCTTGTCAGTGGCGCACGAGATGCAGTGATAATGATGTACTGTAAGTGACGTTGTTGCAAAATATTAAAATAAATATAGTAGCTCAATGTGGAGAAGATCTTAATTAGGTTAAAACCGCAACCAAGCCATTCACACAGAGCACATATTCAGGGCATATGACTGCTGCACTCACGTCTCACAAAAGAGATGTAGCCATGCAAGTTAAAAAATTTTAACTTTTAGAAAACGTTGCAAATTTGTGAAGGCTTATTCCATTTCTCTGTGTCTCTTATGTTTTTAAATGCAATCTGTGTGAATGGCGCTTCGGCTCTTTGGATTAAGCAATGCATAAATACATGATGCTGTTTTGTTCATAATTGTTCATGCAATTTACGAAAATATATTTGATTTATATATGTTAATTTAGACTTTATGCACATTTTTTATAGACAGTTGTTATTTCATTGCATTGAATAAACAATTCAATGCGCTGCATTATTTTGTTCATTGCGCCCTCCTGTGGCCTTGGGAGACAAGACAAAAGTTTCTTTAAAGGGGTCATATGATGCGATTTCAAGTTTTCCTTTCTCTTTTGAGTGTTACAAGCTCTTGGTGCATAAAGAAGATCTGTAAAGTTGCAAAGACTAAAGTCTCAAATCCAAAGAGATATTCTTTATAAAAGTTAAGAGTGAAAGCGAAACTACTTTGTTTGGTCTTCCAAAAGAGGACGATATCCGCTTCATCATGCCTGGAGCTGATCTGTGCTGGTCGCTGAGGGAATACATCAGCTTTCACCGTGGACAAAGCGGAGTCCAGCCCGCCTCAGCTCACTCTATCCCGGCCTCAGCGCACGCTAAGCCAGGGCTTCCCCTCACGCTAGGCCGCTGTGTTTTTCGTTGCTGAGGATTCAAACGTGAGTTTTGGGCAGTAGAGTAGCACTTATTGTTTGTCATTTCTCCGATCACAAATGCAGACAGAGTTTTATGTTTACGCGGCGCGATGCAATGCAACGCTGGATGCAACAATACCTCGTTTGTAATGGTTTTAATGTTTATGTCTCGTTGCTCCGGCTGGACACGGCATCAACAGTTTTTAAATAATTTCAAATATCAGTATTCAACATTTCATGTTTTAAATATCAAAACATTATTTATGCATTTGTAACTGCAGTTTAAAGCATTCCATGTCCCTCTAAGTTGCGTTAACATGTGTAAATGCATCTAAATGCCACTTCATATGCAACTTCTGCAAAGATAAATTTTATTGATACTGATTTAATCTGTTTAGTAACAGCCTAAATATATAATTATTATAATTGACTGATTAAATGTAAGAATTTGACTCAAAAGATGAGTCAAAAAATGGCTTTATAAAGGTAAGAATGCCCATAAAAGTAAAAAATCAATTTAAACTTATTGGAAAAGATAAATTTCTATCACTGCTGTGAACTGACCCGCACACCGAATATGAAGAATATCAAAAACTTTAGGAGTCAGCTGTCCACGGTAGTCCTTAAGATATCAGCACAATAACACACTCAGCAAAATATCGTCTAATTATCTTTATCGATAAAATCACAGAAAATATTGAGATATTATTTTTTGTCAATATCGCACACCAAAATTATTTGCAACGGTCGCTTTGTCACTCCCAGTGTAGACAGACTCAAACTGTTGGTGTATTTCTGTCTTTTTTTTCCCTTTTTTTTTGGCTAGTAGAAGTTATGAATGGTAACTTAAAAATTTAGTAGCCAAATTGGCTGGTGAGTGAAAAAGTTAATTTCAATCCCTGTCTACGTCACTATGTGGGAA